CTGAACCTGGGTGCATCTGCAGGAACACGGGGGTGCAGGTTCCTGGTCTGCCCGGTGGCTCCTGGTTAGCAGACATGTTCACGTAGACTGGCCGTGACCACCTGTGTGGAGGGCTGTGGCTCAGATGCACAGCAGCAGCCTACGAAAGGCACTGCAGTCTGTGGGCCCAAAGCCCTTCACCGGGTGATCAACTGATCCTTCAACTCCATTAGCAGGATGGCATGTTACCAGCAGGATGGCATGTTACATTCGAAATCACACATTACAACAACATAATAACGCAGTAATTTTCATCCTCCCCAGGTTCAAGAAATTGCTTACATTATAAAACAAAGCCTCCTTGGAATGTTTCCCAAACTGTTTGTATAGAGTCTCTTGGAAGATGCCCATCCTCGCGGACATCAGGAGCGCAAATGTCAGTGCCCCAATACCTACAAAACAAAGGCCGGGTTACAAGACACCTGCATTCGCTACTCTCCAGATATTTTGTTAAAGAACATTGATTGATTATTTAAATGTACTACAAATATTACAAACTAACTGTAGAATATGCACAAAACTTTAAAGAGAAATAAAAATCAACCATAATATTACCATCCAGTCCTTAATAGTTTTCTACATCTCTCTAAGCCAGGATCATAATGAGTACACAGTTTGATGTCTTGCTTTTTTCATGATCTTTTTCTGGATTTTTCTTCAGGTCATTCATTAAAATTTTTTCAAAAGTATGATTTAATAGCCACACATTACTCTTCTCATGTGGATGTACTTAAGTGTCTTACAATATTAGAATGGTTAGATTACTTCCAATTATTTCTTCATTAAAATCAATGTACATCCATGTATGTAAATCTTTTAAAAATATTATTTCCTTAGTATACTCTCACAAGTGGAATTACTGAGTCAAAAGTTGTAGACATTTTAAAAAACTCAATACATATACTTTTTTCGAGAAAGGCATGTCAATTTATACTATAAACAGTTGATGTGAACATGGTTGTCCTATTGCACCCTCAGCAGCAAAGAGAATAATCATTTATTATCTTGCAAATATAATAGATCAAAAATAAAAAGATACTGCATTTTGTATTAAAGTTGCATTTCTTTATTAGACTAGTTCTAGGCTGAACATAAAAATTACAGGACATTACTATTTTCCTCCGTAAGTGGTATGTTCAAGTCCTTTGCAAATTTCTCCTAATAGATAGTGTTCTTCCAATAGCTCATGAATATCTTTCTGTGTTAAGGAATAGCAATCTAAACGGGGGGGTGTAAAGTTTCAAAGCCAAGAAGCAAGAATCCAGTTCCTTCCCTGCTATTTCTCTTTCGCCTGGTCAGTCTCAATCTGTTATTGCCAGCACAGAAAGCACTTGGCAGGAGCATCACCTCTTTTTATCACAACGGGAGGGCCAAGCACTACAGGAATTGTCTCATTACTTCCACAAAGAGATACAATTCCCAGGAGATTCTGCTGACCAGTCAGGTCTGGGAACACTGCCATGTGGAACAGCTAACTTCTGAAGAAAATAAATCTAAGATTTAGCAATGGGTCCCTTGGAGACTTAGAGCCACTGCTACAACGTGCCCTTCTGAAGAAGCCTGTACTCAGCAGACAGGTCATAAAGAGATGGATGACAGCCAAGCACCCACAGGGTGCTGGGCAGGCAGGCAGGTGCTTTTCTTCCTAGATCAGTGGCAACAGAGAAACATGGCTCCATGTCACAGAACACACCACCATGACCTCGACGTTTCCTTTCTGTCACTTCTTGAACACTGCAGTTCAGACTTATGATCCCAGGTGCCTCTCTCCCGTGGCATCATTTGTTTAGCTAACACTTCTTGCCAAGAAACATGTCCCTTAGGAGAAAACTCAGCAAACAGAACTGCAGAGGCAATTATCATTATTGTAATTAGCATACTTGCCTCGTAACCACCATGTAAAATGCCTGGAATCCTTCATTCTCACTCAAGCTGGACTGGGAAGTCTAGGGAATAAGAAAAAACACTAGGTACAGAGACCAGAACCACAAGCAATGGGCCTGGACACAAGGGAAATGTTTGCTACCTTTTTCTCTCCCCTTTTTGTATTATTAGTAAGTACCTGGTGCCTGGGCCCCATGGCAAGCAGTGAATATAAATGATTTGTGAACCGATTCCTACCACCTGCTTTGCTGACATGGAAGTGCAAATAAATATCCCCACAGAAACCAGGGCAATGGAAGCATATTTGAATATACTGTATCTGCAGAAATAAGAACAAGAACACATTAGGAAGGCACAGGTACCAATTTCCACAGGATGTTTTCAGTAGATGGTGCCTGAGAGTATAAATCACCAGCAGAGCCCATGTAAGTCTTCATGTGCAAGGATCAGGGTGCCCACTGGTTGCTACACACACCCTTCCTTGGTGTTGCTTAACATAGTTTCTAAAAGTTTGTGGACCAACAGATTGTTTCATTGGGGGGAGGGGAAGACCAGACGTGACATTCCATTGGTGACAGTCCAATAGAACAGTTCTGACACTTTTCATTCTATCTTCTTGGCCACTTGGGCTTTATTTGGAATTTTCTTTGTACTAAGTGCACGATTAGTCCTTCGTTCATTGTGTTGCACTAATGAAAACCTTCTCTGACAGCACTGTCCCACACAACTATGAGCCTGGAAATGCTCCATCCTGGGCTCTCCAATACGGTCACCAACAGCCACATGTGGCTACTGGGCAATTAAACTCTTACCACTGAGAATTGGAAACTAAATGTTTAATTTTAAGTAATTTAAATGTTAAATGTGAATAGTCAATGTGGCTACTGGTGACCACAAGGGAACTGAAATTCTCAATCGATTGGCTTCATAGGTTAGGATGGATCTAAGGACTCAATGATGCTAAGAGCTAATTCTACAGAGAGAACACTGCTGCACAGGTGGGACCCCCTACCTGGTCAGCTGCTCCAGGAACGCACATCATTGTCACAGAGAGAACTCAAACAAAGAAGGCCAGGAGCATGCCCCCTCTAGCAGGAGAAAAGTAATCTACATGCCTAGCCTATAGGTGGGGCCAAGAATGTGCTTCCTAAACATAAATTATAAAAGCATATTGTTTACCTTTTCTTCAAAATGATAATCCCTAGAATCATGTTGGCAATTAGAGAACCCTGTAAAAGGAGACAAGAGGAATTTTTAGTGCACTAGGAAAAGACAACATACTTCAAGATAAAAATGAACATTGCCAAGAGGGAAAAACATCTGGGCAGGAGGAGATTAGGATGAATAATTAGTAAGGTCCAGGTGTTCTTATGATGACAAAAAATATAAGCCATAAAAATCTATCTTGCAAAATAATTACGCCTTTTAAAGATGACAATGAAAATAACAATGATCAGTTCTCAATAACTACTCATAGCTGAAGCTTATTACAGGCTTATTTTTGTCAACTTTTCCATCTAATTTATAAGTGCTTTTACTACGTTTCTCCTCCCTGCTGCGTTTTGAGGAAAGAAGTTATGTGGAGATCTCTCTCTTCTCTGGAAAGGTGTCTGTCCTTCATCAAGTGCTCATAGAAAGTCTACTATGTGCTCAATGCTGTGAGGGTCATCTTAGTCATTATAATTAGCTCTGGGAAGTGCCTTTAGAAATAACACATTTGATCTCACAAAAAACTCAGACCATACCAAAATGTTACAATTCTAATCCTCACCCATTTTGTATTCTTCTGCAACCCTAACTATACTTCCCTTGAAGTCTTTTCTGCCCTCCAGGGAAAACTGTTCTTATCTATATACTGAACACAGTTCTCTCACCATACATGAGGCAAAGAAAAAAACCTCTACTGCTTTGGAAGAAGCATGCCTCCAAGAATTTTTCTTTATTTAATTATCTCAAGTCTCTGATTTAAAAAAAAATCAGGAAGGAAAAGGGTCTGGCCCTGGCATGTGTTTCTCAATGGTTAGAGTGTGGGCCTGAGCACTGAAGGATTGTGGGTTTGATTCCTGGTCAAGGGCACATATCTGGATTGCAGGTTCAATCCCCGGCCATGGTCGGGGCACATACAGGGAGGCAAACAACCCATGTGTCTCTCTCACATCGATGTTTCTCTCTCTCCCTCTGTTCAACTCTCTCTAAAAATCAATGAAAAAATATCCTCAGGTGAGGATTAACAACACACACACACACACACACACACACACACAGAGAGAGAGAGAGAGAGAGAGAGAGAGAGAGAGAGAGAGACGAAATGAAAGAAGGGTCTGTTTCATTTACTAGAAATAAATGTAATTTTATGTAAGAAAGAAACAAAAAGTGATGAGAAATGTTAAAGAACATTCATAGGAAGTTTGGATATAAAATCAACCAGATGAAGGAAATTAAAAGTTAAAATCTGCTTCTCAGGAAAATGTTAACTTTCCTTTTATCAATCACCCATAAGACCTGAGATACATAAAAGTAACCATCCACTTTCACATTGCTCTCTTTCGGCCTTCTCAGACGACAGTCAGCCTCTGCTCACTGATCTGAGCAGCAGTACTCGCAGATCTAAATATCATGTGCAGGGGCATGGCGATGTTGAGGTTCAGGGCATAGTTGTTCACCAAGCTGACCGTGAAAAACATAGTCACCATGACGGCATAGTATCTGAAATGCAGAGGCAACAGCTTACCACACAGAATCTACTAGTTCAAGAAAATCAGAGTGCGAAAATGGCGGAGGCTTAGACGGACGTGTTGGTGTTTTATCCCGGAGCAGATAGGGGCGAGCAGCTGAAACGGGTAACAATCAGCACGATCAAGCTGGGGAGGTTCAGCTGAGAGACAGTCTGCAGCCAGGAAAGACAGAGAACTCCTAAAAAATGCGGATGGTTAGAGATTGAGGCTGAAACCGCCCCCTGGGCGCCAGCGCAGCGGCGAGACCGCGCCATCTTAGGTAGCTGGTACCGGCATCCAGAGATCGGCTACTAACCCGGCGGCTACTAACCCGGAGGCAACGACTCGCAAGCAACGCGACTGTAAGAGCCCAGAGGAGACAGGCACCCCTCCACGGAAAGGTTTGACTCACCCCAAAGGTGCGGTTTGCAGTTCAGGTTGGAGCGAGGAACGTGGGGAAATCTACCGCCTCCAAAATTCCATGCCCATAGAGGCCAGCGTGACCCACAAGTGGGGAGGGCTCCCGCAGAGCTGCTGCCAGAAGGTAACACTATAAATGAGCCCATAGTTGGACTGGATGCAAAAGGGCGGCCTCAGAGTTTCCCTGATAGCTGGCTACTTGTCACCAGGGGCTTGAGCGCGTGCAGACACTCCGCGCAGACACCCCACGCAGTTCTGGAGGGTGGAACCCTGTGAGTTCGAACAGCTTCCCAGGCTCTTGTTTGCACACTTCCTCTTACTTCTGTGAGTTTGATTGTTGGCCCAGTGCATGTGATTGCCCAGTTGGGGTCACTAGCAGAGCTTGTAGGGGAAGATTGTTTTTGGGGAGCCTGGGAAACAGAGCTGGGAGTGGCGCCTGGGGAACCAACTCTGGGCGAAGCTGGTTCAGGTACAATAGAGAGCTTCTGGACAGAGAGAACTTTTAGCCTCGGAGGTCAATCCAGACACACTGCCACCCAGAGGCAGAGCCACGAACTGACTCTTCTGTAAATACAGATAAGGCAATAAGGGGATTTTACGGCCGGCCTTAAAATCAGGACTGTGGCTTACACCACGGAGGAACAGTGTAACAGAGGAAAATTCAACATTCTCCTGAATTCCGGGTGTGCCAATAAGAAGAGTAGAAGATCTGAAGCACCTGCATTACTGCACATTTTTATTTTTATTTTTTTTAAAATTACTTTTTCTCCTTTTAACTAAGAAAACATTTTTTTTCTTTTTTTCTTTTTCTCCATCACCTGATTTTGCCCTTTCAGCTACTACATTTTTATTTTTAACTAGTATTATTACCGCTACCATTTTACCACTCTTTAAAGTGTCATTTTATTTTATCTTTATTTTATTTTGGGACTAATGTTCTCCATTCTATTTTCATCGTTCCTTTAGCAACATTTTTCTCTACCTCAATTTGCCTCTGTGCTAAACAATCTCCCCCACTTTTTCCCTTTTGCTGTCCTGTTTCTCTTACCCTACTCCAGCTTTTGATTTTCCCTACTCTTTTTACCCCCTGTCAAAATTTAACCCTGCTTATATATCCTACGTCCAATCCCCTGTTCTAAATCCTTATACACCTTTCCCTTATCTTCCTTCACTATCCAATTTTTTTTTCTTTTTTTCTCTTCTTCTTCTTCTTTTCTCTCTCCATTGTTTTATTGTTGTTTGCTTGATTGACGAGTATATTGGGTTTTTTTTTTTTAGGATTGTTTGTGAGGTTAGACTGCTTATTCTTTTTATTTTCCTGCCCCTCCCTCTCCCCCCCCCCTGGTTATTTCTGTGCTTCTGTTTCCCCTTGCGTCGCTTGATATTATTGGTTGTTTGTAGTTTGTATTCATCTCCAGGAATCTGTTGCTGTAATTTGTTGGTATTAGTGGCGGACCTATAGGAGTTTTCTCCTCATATAAATAGTCTCTTCCCCTTTTATACTTCATTCTCTTTTCTCTCTTACTTTTTTTTTCCTCCTCTTTTTCCCCTCCCTTTTTCCAATTTCATTTTTGCACTCCTTTTTTTCTTTCTTTCTTTTTTCTCTTCTACCTTTTTCTCTTCTTTCCCCCTTATCTCCCAACTCTCTTAGCTCGGGTGGCCACATTTATTTGGGGTTAGTAATATCGTAAATACAATAGTGTTCAGTGCCTGGTACGTTGTGCCTTGTTGTGTTGTATTTTGTGCCTTTAAATCAACGCAGCAGATTCAAGCAACAGCGGCCACCTGATCACCACACGCTCTGCCTGGGGAACGGTTGCTGTATGTGAAGCCTCCCTCCACCAGCCAGAAGAGCCAACACAGCTGTGAACAGCACCCACCAGAGGTCCTGCTATCAACAGAGGAGCCGCTGCTACCACAACCGCCCAAGGAGCAACCACAGCCCGAGGAACCACTGCCACCCAGGGAGCAGCCACTGCCACCCAGGGTCCAGCCACTGAACGACTCAACAACTAGTCATGTCAGTGAGATCAAACATGGGTAGACAAAGAAACCCCCAAAGGAAAGAAAAGGAGGACTCGCCAGAAAAGCAGCTAAGTGAGACAGAGATATGCAACATGACGGAAAAAGAATTCAGAATAAGGTTCCTAGAGTACATGCACCGGATGTTCAAGAAGCAAGAAGAAACAGATGAAAAACTCAACTACTTATGCAAGAAGCTAGAAGAAACAGATGAAAAAATCAGCAACTTAAGTAAGTCCCAAGAAGAAATGAAGAGCGACATAGCTGCAATAAAAAACACCATTGAAAGTATCAACAGTAGACTGGGAGAAGCAGAGGACCGAATTAGTGAATTAGAAGACAAAGAAGCAAAACACACTCAAACTGTACTGCAAATGGAGAAAAAAATTAAAAGACAGGAGGAGAGCCTAAGGGAGCTTTGGGACAACATGAAACGAAACAACATACGAATAATAGGGGTGCCAGAACAACAGAAAGATGAACATGGATTAGAAAACCTATTCGAAGAAATAATATCAGAAAACTTCCCTGAGGTGGGGAAGAAAAAAGTCACACAAGCCCAGAGAGTCCCAAACAAGGTGAACCCGAAAAGACCCACACCAAGACACATCATAATTACCATGGCAAATGTTCAGGATAAAGAGAGAATCTTACAGGCTGCAAGAGGGAGACGGAAAGTAACATACAAGGGATCTCCCATTAGATTATCAAATGATTTCTCAACAGAAACACATCAGGCCAGAAAAGAATGGACGGAAATCTACAAAGTGATCAAAGCAAAGGACTGAATCCAAGAATACTATATGCCAGCAAGGCTATCATGCAAAATGAAG